ATAAAAAAAAATAAAAAAAAAAAGAAAGTAGAGAAGTAAAAGAAAGTAGACAATAACAGAAATATAAGAGGAATTATATAATAATGACTTAAAGAGGAAGTGATAAGACAGAGATATTAATAATCACATATCAAGTAAGTTGAAAATAAACACTTTCAGAACTATGAAAGGACAAAGAAAAATTAACTCCAAAAGGCATGCAATTTAATCATTATTTAGATAATAGCAATTTGAGGGGCGAATGAAAATGTTATCATTTTTAGCAGTCTTTCATCTTAAAAATTATATATAAAAAGAAAGGTGTTTGTAATTGTTATAATAATCAGAACCAACTTTGAAATGTCTTTAATAGGAGCAGGTTCAAATACCAAGAAATCCCTCACTACGAGTATCAAAAAACACCTCCTTGTACCCATTTCAGAGAGGAGCAATTTCCAAATTCTCGTTATAGGAAATCAAAACTAAATAGTAGCGGGCAAAGTTAAATGAAATTCTAAATATAAGCCTAGGGAACAAAGTTAACATTAATTGAGTACCTACATTGTGCCTGGTACTTCTCTATCCCCATTGCTACTACCTTACTTCAGACCTGCATTCTCTCTCTCATCTGGATCATTTTAATAGCATCCTAACAAGTATCTTAACATCCATTTTCTTTTCTCCAATCCATCCTGCACACTGATACCCAAAGTGATTTTTCTAAAATGAAAATTTGATGTTGGTCTTTTGCTTATCACAATGTCCAAACTCTCTAACTTCTATGATCTGATTCCCATCTACTTTTCCAGTCTTTTCTCTCACCTTTTCACTCACCCACCCTTACTCTACCACAATCTCCTTACACTCTATCATTTATTTTTAACTACTTTAGACTCCTAAAACTTGCCATGCTGTTTTATGCACGTGTTTCTTTTTTTCTGCTCCTCTTGAAGGGCCTTCACCTTTTGCCCTCATAGCAACGCAAACAGCTACCCATTTCTATTTACAAATTCAGTTCAAGTCCTCCTAATATCAACTCCCAGTCCTCAGCTTTTCCAAGAAACAACTGACTATTCCTTCCTTGGTGCCTGTACAGATTTCTATTATAGGATCCATAACTTTATTATATTTACTTACTTAAGGTACGCTTATTAGACTGTAGGCTCTTTGGGAGCAGGAACCTAGTCTTATTTATCAAGGTTTCCTTAGTAACAAACATAATGATTGGCACATCACAGACACCTGAAAAGTTTTTAATCAATGAATGAATAAATAATGTATTATTTAGGTTAAATTTTTTTCATTGCCTAGATTAAAAGCTACAGTCTATCGTCAGTTATTGAGTTCTATCATTTATTTTCTTGAAACGTCTGATTCACTCCACAATCACCATCCTATTTTATGTCCTCATCCTGCATTTTACTGCCAGGCTAATTTTGAAAAGCCCACATCATCATATAACAGCCCCATTCATGAACTTATAGTGAATACTATTTTAAATCCAAATGCCTCCATTTACCTTTCATGGCTCTCCATAAACTGGCCCTACCTTACCCACCCAATTTCAACTCTTCATCTGGCCAATTTCTTTATCATACCTTGAGTCTGGTACATAAATCCTTACCTTTTTCTTTGTCCAAATTGTTACATTCTACATTCACACCTCATTCTTCCCTAATCCAATTAAATATTAACCATCCTTCATGGGTCCATCAGTCTGATTTTTTCCATCAAAACTGTACCTGAATGCTCCATCCTCTCTTTTTTAACCATATACTATGGCAAACACCTTCACTACCAGTCATATCAGCACTTCATTCTTTTTGTTTTTAAGAATGTTACGTTTTCTCTCCCCAAGTGGACTACCACCTCCTTCAGGTAAATCTCATATATTATATCTTATTGTATTTCCTTTTAGATCCCTGACAGTTCTTAGTTACTGTGATAGCTAGGAAGTCATCATGGTAGTGTTTTTAAAACTTTTTTTAAAGAGTAGTAACACCCTCTCTTTAAATTAAGTCTTATGTTGCAGCCCAATAAGTAAAAGAGATAAAAGGAGAGGGACTCTGACTGAAATGGGATGCAGGGTTCACAGTGCTGCCTGTCTGGCCTTCCCCTACTTGCTTAGCCACATGGTAGCCCCGGAGCACCTCTGCAGATCTTCTAGGGCTCCTTGGAATACAATTTGAAAACTATTGGGTTCAAGTTCCAGCTCTAACACTTACTGGCCATGTACCCTTGGGTAATCAAACTCTCTAAGTTTCAGTTTCCTAAGATAATGAATATGTATGAGAAAGGCTTTTGTAAACTTTAAAGCTTTCTATAAATTTCAGAAATTTACAATTTCACAAGCCATGAGCTAAAGTGGTTATATTATACAATCTCACCAGTTATATCACACAATAGTACCAACTGTGAACACATTCTATATTTTAAAATCCGGCTTTATTTAAAATAAAATAAAGCATTCTAAATGTCATTCAAGTCTAGGAATCCCAGGTCCTCTGCCTTGTTTCTTATACTTGGAATTAACTTTCTAAACTCCATTTGGGGGGCAATAAAGTATAATGATTAAGAGTACATACTTTTGAGTTAGGCAGACTTGGTTTGAAAGCCAGCTTTGCCACTAATTAGGTGTGTAAACTTGGGTAAATTATATAACCTCTCCAAGCCTTAATTTCCTCATCTCAAAAATGAAAACAGCACTACTGGCTTTTCAGTTGCTGCTAGATAAAGAAGATAATCTGAAAAACTGTTTAGCAAAGTATGAAACTCAGTAACAAATCAGTACGTTAACTCTTATTTTCCTTTTGGGAAGAGCTGTGGGAGAGTTGAAGCACTTTGTGTTAATGTAGCGTTCAATATTCTTCTTCCTTTTTGTTCTTGGGCATAGGGCCATAGCACCGAGAGCAAAATACAGTAAGTAACGTCTATAAATGAAAAAGCATAACACCTTTGACAACTCAGAGTGCTAAGTTATAAAACAGATGGCTTCTTTCCAGACATCCTATAACAATTAAATAGCATTTCTTTCCTGCTGGATTATTTTAATCTTCTTTAAAGCATAGGTAATGTCTTGTACTTCTTAGTATACCCTTACAGTACACCTCAAAGTCAGCAAATAATCAATAAATGTTTATCAAATTAAATAGATTTCCTACAATCAGAAATTTACCATATAACGAATAACTGCAAAACAATTACCCCTTTTCAAATTGGAATGTTTGCTTCCTATTAGAAATAATACCGACCATGAGCTTTTTCTCATAAAAGTTGAAGTTTAAAGTTAAGTGTAATTTTAGGAAAGATGTTAATGAGATATAAAATCATTCTCAAATTGAAAAGGGAAACTTCACTATCTTTAAAATTATAAACATACACATATATGCAAGTCCTTAAAAGAATACTCCTTGCCATACAAAATTAAGTAACTGAGAGGAAAAGTGTTGGAGATACAAGAGTTAAACAAAACAAGGCAAGTGAACACTATGCAGTTGTTTTTAAAAAGGCAGAGGTATATGTACCAATATGGAAAGATGAAAGAAACATCTAGGTGAAAAGAGCAAGCTTCAGAAGAGTATGTATGCTATGATTCCATTTGTGTGCATTTAAAGGTATACAAATGAATTTGTTTGAGTATAGAAAATTTTCCAAAGACTATTCAAGAATCCTAATCACATTCTGTAATGATATAATTAAGACAGAAAGCCAAATAAATATCAGTTTAATATTTTACAATGTGGAAACTGAAGTGATTTTTTAAAAGTGTTTTTTAAATGTACTATAAAAATGGTAGATTTAAACCTCCATGTGGTTCTAAGCCATCATCTAAGGGTTTTGATAGAGGTTGTCACAAACACTCTTTCTTAAATGCCCTATCAGTGAACTTTAAATGGAAGAAAAGTTCCTTGATTAGAAAAACAAAATATTTGCTTATATAGACAAAGGACATTAAAAAAAATTCCAAATGCTCAGTGTTTGTGTTACTTTAATTGACATGCACATTAAAAATTAACTGGAGAAATCACCGATTTATATTAACATTAAAAAGATATTTATTCCTATCACCTTTTGCTTTAATTAAATGTATCCAACCATATGAAGAACGAAGATACTTTTGAGGTTTTTATTACAAATGACTAAAGTGACTTTGGTAGAGTGACACCATAACCTGGTAGCTGCTTTCCCAACCTCTTAACAGCTAGCTACATGAAACATTAAGTTCTTGAATTTGAAACCAAGACAACAGGAAAAGCACCCTCCTCAACGATTCCCCCTAAATGGCTTTTTAGATAACTAGAATAGGTTTACATATATAAACTCTTTATTTAGATCAGAGAACATATGGTTTTCTCTTATGTTCAAAAGGGTCAAGATGATATCTATCATATTAAATTTCTGTATTAATATTAAATAATGTTTTCTAATCCAAGAACAATGGACCAAAAGACAGGTGTAGATACTAGTCCTGGCTCTACCACTTATTAGCTGAAAACCGTGGGGAAGTCACTGAATGTCTCTGACCCCCAGTCTCCCCATCTACAAAATGAGAGGGCTTGACTAGATTACCTCTAAGCTTCCTTTTCCAAGTGTGAAAGTCTTACTATGACAGTGAAAAAATATCAAGTGAAGACATTTTTACTTGCTGATTCTTAATTGCTATATGATAGCAAAGAATGTTAAGGAACAGTTAAATTTCATATAGAATTATTAAAATTATGTATGACCCCTACTGGAGGTTATTAAAAGAGAACCATACTATTTCCTTTAAGGTTTCCACTCACAAACCTTTATCTGTAGGGCTGAACTTTTTATTTGGCATAAAATACGTATTTCAAATTAACTATCTTTTTGTGGTGTTATGTGGAGAATTGACCAAGCACTCTCTCATTTAAATACAATTTTATTCTCTTTGAAAAATTCTGAAATATAGCCTTAGTTAGATGACTTTCATAGTAGTAGTAAAATTTTCTTGGTCCATGTTGGTTTCTTTCTTAAGCTAATAATCTAAAGATGTTTACCTTTGGCAGCATGGGAGTATCCCTTTTCTTCTTCTTTTCTGAATTAGGGTCATCTAATAAGTCTGGCTCAAAGGTATAAAGTTCAGTAAGCTCATTCATGGTAAAATGACGCTCGACCTGCTGCTGATCGACAACTCGAAAAGACAGTGACTGCTTAGTTACCTGCCGATCATAAATCTTATCTTCCATGGTTCCCTTCGTAAAAAAAAAAAAAAAAGGAACAATATACAAATAAATAAATTTTGTAAACATGAAACTTAAAGAGAAATATAGTTATTGGTTAATACAAAATGGCAAAACTTCATTGCAATATACTGCCATAAAGCAAATTTTATTAGCAATGCTGCTTAATTCATGAGAGATTTCACCTGTTCTGCATAGTTTACCTGGACAAAACAGAAAACTACATTACTGATAATCATTCTATATTATCTGACCAATACGGATTCATGTGTTGCTTTATATATTTCTTTACTTGGTGGAAGTAAGAGAGCAGTCAGATACCAAGATAAACAGAAATAAAGGAGTACAGGCATACCTTGTTTTATTGCACTTCACTTTATCACTCTTCGTAGATATTGCATTTTTTACAAATTGAAGGTTCGTGGCAAACCTGTGTCAAGCAAGTCTATTCGTGCAATTTTTCCAACAGCGTGTGCTCACTTCATGTCTCTGTGTCACATTTTGGTAATTCTTACAATATTTCAAGGTTTTTCATTACTATTATATTTGTTATGGTGATCTGTGATCAGTGATCTTTGATGTTACTATTGTAACTGTTTTGAGGAGCCACAAAAAGCGTCCACGTAAGACGGCAAACAATCGATAAATGTTGTGTTCTTACTGCTCCACCAACCAGCTGTTCCCATCTCTATCCCTCTCCTTGGGCCTCCCTATTCCCTGAGACACAACAATATTGAAATTACACCAATTAATAACCCTACAGTGGCCTCTAGGTGTTCAAGTGAAAGACAGAGTTGCATGTCTCTCACTTTAAATCAAAAGCTAGAAATGATTAAACTTAAGTGAGGAAGGCATGTTGAAAGCCGAGATAGGACAAAGGCTAGGCCTCTTGCACCAAACAGTTAGCCAAGTTGTGAATGCAAAGGAAAAGTTCTTGAAGGAAATTAAAAGTGCCACTCCAGTGAACACAAGAATGATAAGAAAGCAAAACAGCCTTATGGCTGATATGGAAAAAGTTTCAGTGGTCTGGACAGAAGATCAAACCAGCCACAACATTCCCTTAAGCCAAAGCCTAATCCACAGCAAGGCCCTAACTCGCCTCAATTCTGTGAAGGCTGAGAGAGGTGAGGAAGCTGCAGAAGAAAAGTTTGAAGCTAGCATAGGTTGGTTCATGAGATTTAAGGAAAAAAGCCATCTCTAACATAAAAGTGCAAGGTGAAGCAGCAAGTGCTGATATAGAAGCCGCAGCAAGTTACCCAGAAGAGCTAGCTAGCTAAGACAATTAATGAAGGTGGCTACACTAAACAACAGATTTTCAATATAGATGAAACAGTCTTCTATTGGAAAAAGACGCCATCTAGGACTTCCATAGCTAGAGAGAAGTGAATGCCTGGCTTCAAAGCTTCTAAGGACAGGCTGACCCTCTTGTTAGGGGCTAATGCAGCTGGTGACTTTAAGTTGAAGCCAATGCTCATTTATCATTCAGAAAATCCTAGGGCCCTTAAGAATTATGCTAAATCTACTCTGCCTATGCTCCATAAACGGAACAATGAAGCCTGGATGACAGCACATCTGTTTACAACATAGTTTACTGAAATATTTTAAGCCCACTGTTGAGACCTACTGCTCAGAAAAAAAGATTCCTTTCAAAATATTAGTGCTCACTGACAATGCACCTGGTCACCCAAGAGCTCTGATGGAGACAACGAGATCAACGTTATTTTCATGCCTGCTAACACAACATCCATTCTACAGCCCATGGATCAAGGAGTAATTTCAATTTTCAAGTCTTAAACGTATTATTTAAGAAATACATACTGGGGCTGGCCCGTGGCTTAGTGGTTAAGTGCGCATGCTCCGCTACTGGCGGCCCAGGTTCAGATCCTGGGCACGCACCGACGCGCCGCTTCTCCGGCCATGCTGAGGTGTCGTCCCACATACAGCAACTAGAAGGATGTGCAACTACGACATACAACTATCTACTGGGGCTTTGGGGAGAAAAAGTGGAAAAAAAAAAAAAAGGAGGACGATTGGCAATAGATGTTAGCTCAGGGCCGGTCTTCCTCAGCAAAAAGAGGAGGATTGGCATGGATGTTAGCTCAGGGCTGATCTTCCTCAAAGAGAAAAAAAAATACATTTTGTAGGCTATAGCTGCCACAGACAGTGACTCCTCTGATGGATCTGGGCAAAGTAAATTGCAAACCTTCTGGAAAGGATTCACCATTCTATATGCCATTAAGGACATTTTTGATTCATGGGAAGAGGTCAAAATATCAACACTAACAAGAGTTTGGAAGAAGTTGATTCCAACCCTCCTGGATGACTTTGGGAGGTTTATGATTTCAGTGGAGAAAGTAACTGCAGATGTGGTGGAAAGAGCAAGAGAACGATGATTAGAAGTGGAGGCTGAAGATATGACTGAATTGCTGCAATCTCATGATAAATCTTTAAACGATTGAGGAGTTGCTTCTTATGGAGGAGCAAAGGAAGTTGTTTCTTGAGATGGAATCTACTCCTGATGAAGATGCTGTGATTGTTGAAATGACAACAAAGGATTTAGAATATTACATAAACTTGGTTGATAAAGCAGCGTTTGAGAGGATTGACTACAATTTTGAAAGAAGTTCTACTGTGGCTAAAGTGCTGTCAAACGGCATCACGTGCTACAGAGAAATCATTCGTAAAAGGAAGAGTCCATCAATGCGGCAAACTTCATTGTTGTCTTATTTTAAGAAAATACCACAGCCACCCCAACCTTCAGCAACCACCACCCTGATCAGTCAGCAGCCATCAACATTGAGGCAAGACCCTCCACCAGCAAAAAGACTATGACTCACTGAAGGCTCAGATGATGACTAGCATTTTTTAGTAATGAAGTATTTTTAATGAAGGTATGTACATTGCTTTTTTAGACATAATGCTATTGCACACTTAACAGACTACAGTATTGTGTAAACATAACTTTTGTATGCACTGGGTAACCAAAAAATTCATGTGACTCGCTTTATTGTGGGATTCACTTTATTGTAGTGGTCTGGAACTGAACCTGCAATATCTCCGAGGTATGCCTGTACATGAAGTAAGATTTTAGGGGATTACTGAAGTAAGAATGCAAGAGAGCAGTTTAATTCCATTTCAGTGGAACAGAATAAGCTCTCAACAATCACTGTAACTCCTGTTATATCACATCTTACTTTCTATAATTTCAGGACAGAAAATTAATAATTAAAATGCCATATTTACTACATATATATATACCATTCTAAACTAGAATGTAAAGGAGCTCTTAATTTAAATAATAGGAAAGGATTTACAGTATAGTTTACCAATTATATTATGTACTAAAGACATACAAACAAGCAAGGATCTACCAATAAAACCCATTCCCTGGTTGAGAAGCCCAAATTTGGAGGCAGGTGGAGAGTATAGCATCTAATCCCAAAGCAGATGTACCAGTTCAAAGGGCAACTTGATTCTATAAACCTATATTACCTTCAACTGCATCCACTTCTTTGATTTCATTTATTTTTCTTAAATTTCAGTCTGTCTGTTTTTTAATACCTGAGTTTATATTTAAATGAAATGACTAATTTCTTGCCTATATTTGTAATGATTCTTTGTTATTATAGTAAGTTAACTTTTTCTTCCTATTTACCCACATTCCTCAAATTAAGAGAATATCTGATGGCCACTAAAAACAATGATCATTTGACCTCTACATTTATAAGAAAATTAGATTTAGTTACTGGCTTTTCTATGTATGCTAAGTAAAAGAACTATAAATGTTTAACTTTCCTGAACTAACAAGAAAATGCTAAATCTGTTTACCCATGCAAATCCATCTCAATCTGAGAAAGCTGACATTATAGACATGGACAAACTACAAAACAGAAAATAATGAGAGGCCAAAATTGACTTCTGCTGCTTTATGCATAAGAATGATGTTTTCAACACTGTTTGCATCTCTATAACATATATGTGTTCTACACTCCAAAAATATTACCAGTTTCACCCAACCTTTCAATATGAAAAAGAGAATATAAATTATAAACATACCTGAGCTAAGAACCTATATACATACACAGGTTTAGTCTGTCCAAAGCGATAAACTCTGAATATACTCTGGATGTCATAAGATGGATTCCAAGAAGCATCAAATATAATGACTCGATTAGCAGCTACTAGGTTAATTCCAAGAGATCCTGCTTTGGTAGAAATGATAAACAATCGTCCTCTGAAAATGAAAATATAGAATACATGTTTTTAGTAATGAGTGTTTCACAGATATTTTAATTACGATATGACTTTTTAATCCTAAGGTAGTTTTCTGAACAATCATGAATTCAGAGAATTGATTTCTCACTTACTGAAGAAAACAAGACATGTCCAAGGAGTCAGGTTGATGATTTATATGCCCAGGAAGAATCTTATTGCTGGAAAATGAACTAGTCTGATTTAGGAATAAAGATAAATACGGAAATCACATGTTTACAATGTATTCAAGGTATTTACAGATTTCTAAGTAAATGTAGAAAATTTATGTATAACTCCAAAGTCTATATTGTGTTTGGTACTGTTATGAGCACTAAGTACATCAAAATGAAGGACAGGGCCCAAGGAGCTGAGTATAGCAGGAGTGACTGATATGCAATTACAATACAGCGTAATGAATGTAAGAAGTGAAGTTAGATAGATACAAGGTACCAAGGTAGCTAAAATAGGATAAAGAGGACAGAGGACTCCAGGAAGGATGTGTTCAAGAAAAAAAAAAGAACAAGAAACTGACAGATAACCTTCTATATTGGAACATAAGTATATTTCTGTAGGAGAATTTGGGAATGAAATTGTGATAGAATTTGGGAATGAATTTGTGATATTCATAGAAAACTAAGCAAATGGTAAAAACAAACCATTACTTCAACAAAAATAAACAGGTGCACAAAAAGGGAAAGGTAATCATAGTATTTTAAATGGCTTAAGTGTGAATATTTACATAGTCACAATAAAGCAAATACTCCAAACTGATTTAGGCAAATATTATGAAAAAATATATTGGGAAAATGAATGAGAAAAAGCGTATGTGCATGTTGGTAAATTTCAACCTTAGATTGTACAAAGGATATAGGTTAAGTAAATATCACAACAATTGGGCCGGCCTGGTGGCTTAGCGGTTAAGTGTGCGCGCTCCGCTACTGGCAGCCCGGGTTCGGATCCCAGGCACGCACCGATGCACCGCTTCTCCGGCCATGCTGAGGCTGCGTCCCACATACAGCAACTAGAAGGATGTGCAACTATCACATACAACTATCTACTGGGGCTTTGGGGAAGAAAAAAAGGAGGAGGATGGGCAATAGATGTTAGCTCAGAGCCGGTCTTCCTCAGCAAAAAGAGGAGGATTAGCACAGATGTTAGCTCAGGGCTGATTTCCCTCACCAAAAAAAAAAAAAAAAAAAAACCCAGAAGAATTGCCAAGAGTTGAAATTGGTTACCTGTAGAGAGTAGAAATCATGGGCAGGAAGGTGTTGGTCAGGGAACTCGTTTTTATTTTAAGCCTTGTAAAACTATTTGTTTTTTAAAAATATGTAAATATATTACTTTGATGTAAATCAAAAATTAACTTAAAAAGATTACATATAACATTTTTTGAAAATATAAACAAGTTTAAAGAAAAAGAAACTCCTCAGTTCCACCCCCCAGAAACAACCTCCTTTCAAATCATGGTACATTTCCAATAGATTTTTTTTCTAAGCACATAAATTTTTGGTTTTACATAGACAAGATAATATCTGTATATATAAGAATTTATATTATTATTATATATATATTATTATATATATATTATTATTATAAGAATATATTATTATTATAAGAATTTCCTCAAGTTTCTTAGTAAACATCATGCTTGGTAGCTGCATAATATTACACTGGATGACCATATAATTTGTTTACTGTTGGCAACTTAGAGTGAGAAAACCCTTGGAATATAATAAGCTCCCAACAATCTCGACAAAATGCCTTTATCTGCCAAGCTTTACTTTCTATAATTTCATGACAGAAAATTAATAACTAAAATGCCATACCCATTACATATATAGTATTATAAATGAAAACGCAAAGAATCTCAAAATTTAAATAACAAGGAAGGGCTTAAAATTAAGAAAAATCCTGATACAAAATGAACAGAGGTACTAAATTCAAGTTTTATATCAATTTGGAATTACAACATGTCTAGGAATATAAGCTATAGAAATGATCATAAATGCAAGAAAATATATTCATCAGTTATTTATAAGAGCATAAAGTTGAAAATAATATGTACAACACAGAGGACTAAATTACACTCTGACTATTCAACAGGTTACATTACCATTAAAAATTTACAATATTATGTTATGTGAAAAAAAGCAGGATATAGAACCTTATTAAATATAAATGCAACTGCATTAAAAAACAAAACATGTATGTTAACAGTGGTTATCTCTGGTCACTGGGATTACGATAATTATTTTCTTCTTTATACTTGTCTATAATACATACTCATTACAGAGCACAACAGTGCTTTCTTTAATTAGTGGATGTATTTAAGAGTTTATGGGTAAATGCCTGCTCCAAAATTACTCCAGTTGTTTACATCTATTCCACACCAGCAAAAGGATCAAGCATATAGAATGGTATAAACCATGCAGGTTAAAAAAACACACACACAAACAGGAAGCCTTGTAGAGAACTTCAAAACTCTTTGATATCTATCCACTAATGAAGAGCTGAACAGGTTTAATAAACATGTTTATGAAACCACTACGCATTCCAAGTACTGAGCTAGACTAGGAATACAAAAGATGAAAAAATAGCTGGTCACTGCACTAAAGGAGACCACCAACTACTAGACAATAGATATATAAACAATTGTAATCCAATCTAATTTGCAATAATAAAGATATTTATTTACAAGGTATAGATGTGATCAACAGCATATTTTAGCTTTGAAAAGCATACAAGTGGGAAGCAAAATTATTTAATTTTGCCCCCAGAAGAAAAATGAACAAAGAAATAGACAGAGTCAAGTGACTGAACTGGTATTAAGAATTATTTTTCAACTATTTAATCTCTAATATTATTCAATCTGGAATATGTAAGTCCATAATGAGATAAGCTAACCAAAATATTTTTAGATTTTCTTAACACTAAACATTAGTATTAAAGTATACACTCAAAACAAACACAATTAAAATATGAACCATTATTTGAATACTGCTGCTACAAACCTTCTTGTATATGACTTTTGGTAAAAATATGCAAGCATTTCTGTTAGGTATATACCTAAGAGCAGAACTGCTGGGTCACAGGGTATGAATATGGCACTGTTAAAGCTGCACAAATAAAGGCTGGCCCGGTGGTGTAGCAGTTAGGTTCGCACACTCTGCTTCGGTGGCCCGGGGTTCGTGGGTTTGGATCCCGGGCACCAACGGGTGCACGGCTTATCAAGCCATGGTGTGGTGGTGTCCCATATGAAGTAGAGGAAGATGGATAAAGTAGAGGAAGATGGGCACATATGTTAGCCCCGGGCAAATCTTCCTCAGCAAAAAGAGGATGATTGGCATCAGATGTTAGCTCAGGGCTGATCTTCCTCAAATAAATAAATAAATAAATAAATAAATAAATAAATAAATAAATAAAGCTGCACAAATAGTTCTCCAAAGTGGTTATTCCAATTTACATTCTCACCCGCAGTATATAAGAGTTCCAGTTGTTTCAGACCCTTGACAACTCATGGTATTGCCTTTTTTATTATACCTTTAAAAAATAGTTTAAGCTTCACAAGAATTTGCAACAGTACTACAGAGACTTCCTGTGTACCCTTCATCCAGCTGTCCCCAATGGTAATAACTTACATAACTACAGTACATTGTCAAAACCAGGAAATTGAGGTTGGTACAATACTATGAACTCAGGTACAGAGCTTATCTGCGTTTCACCAGTTTTTATATGTATGTTTTTTGTTTGGTGGATAGCTCTATGAAATTTTATCAAGTATGTAGATTCATGTAACTTTACCACAAGCAGGACACAGAACTGTTCCATCACCACAAAAACACCTCCTTTGTGTTATCCCTTAGAATTTTCACTCTCTCCGTAACCCTAATCTTTTCTCTATCACTATAATTTTGCCAAATCAAGAAAGCCATATGAATGGAATCATACAGTATGTAACCTTTTGAGATTGGCATTTTTCATTCAGCATAATGCCCTTGAGATCCATCCAAGTTGTTGTATGGATCAGTATCAATAGTTCATTCCTGTTTATTGCTAAGCAGTATTCCAATATATGGATATATCACAATTTGTTTATCCATTTACATATTAAAGGACATTTGGGTTGTTTCCAGTTTTTGGCTTTTACAAATAAAGCTGCTATGAACATCTGTGTATAGTGTGAAAATAAGTTTTCATTTCCCTGGCATAAATTTTCAAGAGTGTGAATGCAGGGTAGTAAGGGTAAGTATGTTTAATTGTTTAGTTTTTTTTTTTTTAAAAACTACCAAATTGTTTTCCAGGAAGACTGGCTGTGGCATTTTACATTCTCACCAGCATTGTGGAAGAGATCCAGTTTCTCTGCATCCTCACCAGCATTTGGTAGTGTCACTATTTTTTATTTTAGCCATTCTGATAGTTAAGAAGTGATATCTCACTGTGGTTTTAACTTATATTTCCCTATTGGCTAGCGATGTTGAACATCTTTTCACATGCTTATTTGCCACACACAGATCCTCTTCAGTGAAGTGTCAGTTTAAGTCCTTGGCTCATTTTGTAACTGAATATCATTTTTTTTCTGTTACATTTAGAGAATTCTTTATATATTCTAGATATGAGTCCTTTGTTTGATATGCTATTTGCAAATATTTTCTCCAAGTCTGTGGTATGTCTTTTCCTCTTCTTAACAGATTCTCTCCCAGACAAAAGTTTTTAATTTGCTTGTCTAATTACTGATTTTTTCTTTAATGGATTATATGCCTTCGGTGTCATGACTAAGACCTCTTTGCCTAACCTTAGCTCCTGAAAATTATCTTCTATGTTTTCTTAAACAAGTATAATGTTTTACATTTCGATTTATGATCCATTTTGACTTGATTTTTGAATAGGGGTGAAGCTTAGGTCAAGGTTCATTTTCAGCCTGTGAATATGCAATTGTTGCAATACCATTTGTTGAGAAGGCTGTCCTCCCTCCATTGAAAC